AGATGATATATACATATCCATGAAACCAAGTCTGACTTTAGGCATAAACTTCAGTGAGTAGAATGAACATACTATAAATTAGCACCTAGCTAGGGCTATACAGGTTACTGCAGTCATCAAATAGGTATTTTTAATACATATTTTTTAAATTTAAAGAAAAAGTTTTCATGCCCTCTGCCCTTTCCCACTCTCTTCTCACACTATCTCTGGTGTCTACAGTTGTCTTCCATTCCTTCCCCCCCCATACTTTATTGATAACACAATTTCTTGAATAATCTAACTACTTTCCATAGCAAGTTCAGCTGGTTATTTCAAAAAAAGCAGTTTTAACTTTAATAAATCAAAGAAATGCTAAGGAACTTTGCTTAAAACTTAAAGCCAGGAAACAGGTTAGGATTCTGCTCAAATAGTAGGCACATCAACCTACAGAGAGCACAAAACAGGACAAAAATCTTTATAACCGGACAACAAAGCCTAGAAGAAAGTCAGAAATGTTTTAGTCAAAAGTCATAAAATGCTATTTCACCAGTTCAGTCTCATGTACTTAATCTATCTTCTGTTGTGGCTCAATCTTCCCTATTGAATTATGGTATATAATATTCAACTCCAGACTTGTCCCTATGATTAAGTTGGCCATTTTCTTAGGTTTTTAAGTCTTATTTCCGTGTATTTGTATTTAATTTTCCTGATATAGCATTCCCTTGAGAACTGCTTGGAGATCTGGTCTGGTGCTGGTAAATTCTTTCAGGTTTTGTTTATCTGAGAATGTTCTTGTCTTTTCTTCCCATATGAAGGATAATCTTGCCGAATACCGTATTCTTGGTTGAAATTGCTTTTCCCTTAATACTTTGAATATATTTATATATTTTCCCATTCTTTCCTCGCTTGCATTGTTTCTAATGAGAGGTCTGCTGTTAGTCTGATGGGATATCCTTTGTAGGTAACAGAAAGGGTGATATCTTTTTTTCTCTTTTCTCTCTCTTTTTTTTGGGGGGTGGGGGAGGGTTTTGCTATAGGATGCATGTGCTCGCCAGAGAGACAGAGAGACAGAAAGTGAGAAATCACCCCCCCAGGGGGATGGCCATGCTGCAATTCTTTCTCCTCCATTCTCCTCTCAGGATCTTGGGCACGCACACATACACGCCCAGCGTGAGTTTAGGCCACCAGGTCTGGGACTTGAACCACGGTCGACTACATGGGAGTCCAACGACATAGCCATTACACCAACTGCTGGTCCCAGTGCTGAAAAACTTTTAACAAGAGTGTCACCAGAAGGCTCTTGTAATATGCTAATGACTAACTCTGAAGACAATACAAAAACTTGAAAATTATTCTACAGTACATAGAAAGAAGTGTGAAGAGGTAGGAGCTGATTTACTGAAACCTGATATATGCTAGACACTGTGTTAAGGGCTTTATATATATTGCTATGTAATTATTTTAAAAGCCTTATAAGATATACACTATATGCTAAAAACACAACCTGAAGCTTACCACACTTAAAACACTTGTTCAAAATTACAGCCTAATAAATGACAAAAATGAATTAAAATCCAAAGCAAAAAAACTGCCATGAACCTGAGTTTGATCAAGATTCTATATCTAACTTTCAATTTCTAGTAAACATAGGAAATCTAAGGACCAGTTAATGATACTGTGGAGTTGCAGTGAGCAAAATCCAGACTGAAAATTACAGCCCAGATTAGGTGGCGCAGCCTATAGTATAATGAACTACAGAGCTGGAAACTACATGGTTTACCACTGGTTTAGATCCTTCATTTGGCCTGAGAATATGCCAGGCACATGTGTGTGCCCAAGATCTTGACAAGCTAGAGGGCTCTGGAAAGTGCCCTGCGCCCTAATGAGACCTTAAGATGGGTGATTTTCCCTGCCTGTCCCATCCTTTTTTCTTTCTCCCATGGAAGCATACAAAGTCTCTATCATGAATAAACAAACAAAACCTATAGAACAAACAACTAGTTTTTTCTAACAAATAACCTGCAAGAAAAAAGAGAGTGGAAAAGAGGAGAGAGAATCTATAGATTATAAGTAACATACCAACCAACTACAATAAACATATTTACTTGGAACCTGATATGACCAAACAAGCTGTTAAAAAGATGTTCGACACATTCAGAGAAATATGAACAGTGACTAGCTATCTAATAATACTCATTCTGAAGTTGTGATAATGGTATTTTGATTAAGTTTTCAAAGAGTCTGTATCTTTTAAAGATGAACATTAAAATAGTTGCGACTGGGCCAGCAAGTGGTGTGGTGATTGAGGCGTTTGATCCCAGTTGGATCCCACATGGCTGACTGCACGGTTTCAGTCCCGACCCTGGCACCTTGAAAAACACGCTGGGCAGGACCAGCAGATGGTATAATGGTTACCTCGCTGGACTCCCACATGGACGACCTTGGTTCGCATCTTGGACCCAATGGCTTGAAACTCACTCCAGGCATGTGTGCATTCATGTCTAAAATCCTGAGAGGAGGATGGAGGAGGAGGGATTGTGGCGTGGCCATACTTGGGGAGGAGTTGGTGTGTGATTTCTTGCTTTCTGTCTCTCTAGCAAGAGCATGTACTCTATAGCTAAAGATCTCCCTAAAAAAGTTTTTTTTTTTTTTTTTTGAGAGATTTTCACTGTAGGGCGCGTGCGCTCGCCAGACAGAGAGAGACATAGAGACAGAAAGCGAGAAATCACCCCCCAGGGGGGATGGTCACGCCGCAATCCCTTCTTCTCCATTCTCCTCTCGGGATCTTGGGCACGCACGCACACGCGCCCGGCGTGAGTTTTAAGCCACCGGGTCCGGGACGCGAACCGCGGTCGACTACGTGGGAGTCCAGCGACATAGCCATTACGCTAACTGCTGGTTCCCCCCCTAAAAAAGTTTTAAAAAGAGGGGCCAGCAGGTGGTGTGATGGTTAAGGTACTGGACTCCCACATGGCCAACCATGGTTCACATCCCAGACCTAGTGGCTTGCTTTCTCACTTTCACTCTCTGTTTCTGTCTCTCTCTGGTAAGCATATGTGCCCTATACCAAACTTAAAAATAATAATACCAAAAAATAAAATAACTTAAACAAAAGAAAAGAAAAATATGCTGGTCACATATATGTACATGCCCAACATCCCCAGAGAAGAATGGAGGAGAAGAGATTGCAGTGTGGTCACTCCTCCTAGAGGTGATTTCTCTCCCTTTCTCTGTCTCTCTTCAGCAAGTACACATGCCTTACGACGAAAATCTAAAACAAAAAAACAAAAAAAGAGAAATGTTTGTAATTTATTTGAAAACTGGGAGGGAGGTAGCTAAATGGGAAGGGGTAGAAATAAAACAAAATTGGGCATGAATTGAAAATGATTTAATCTGACAAATGGGTAAATGGGGGCTCATCATAACACAATTTTTTATGTGTATGTTTATTAAAAAAAAATTCCAGAGAAATGCATTCCAGTCTCCACTGTGAACATGACTTCTCCTAAGCAGTCACATTTAAAGGTGACATAGAAAAGCCATCTAGTGTCTTATTCAGAACCATTTCTGTGTATATCTTCTAATTCTTCATCCACCATTCACACAAAGCAAGGGTAAGTTGTAAATTCTAATTGGGTGTGTCATGTCTTAGCTTCTGTGAAACATTTTTTTCTCTTAAATACTTCTGTTTTTTTTTGGGGGGGGGGATTTTTGCTATAGGGCATCTGTGCTTACCAAAGAGACAGAGAGTCAGAGAGAGAAAAAAGTGAGAAAGCAGCCCCCAGGAGGGATGACCACACTGTAATACCTTCTCTTCCATTCTCCTCTCAGGATTTTGGTCACATGCACCTGATGTGATTTTCAAGCTGCCAGGCCTAGGATTCAAATTACAGTCGGCCATGTGAGAGTCCAGTACCTTAACCACTACACCACCTGCTGGTCCCAAACACCTCTCTTTAATTCAAACAGCCCAACTTCATCTGACATTAAGACCTGTGTAAGTTTCCAAACTTTCCACTGAACAAGCAGCCCCATTACTTAGAGGGGAAGCTCATTCACTTTTCAATAACAATATAGGTATTCCCTATTACATACCATGGGAAATGACATTCAGAAATAGAAACACTTAACATGTTCCGTTCAGAGTAATTTTATCTAAAATTAACTTACAATCGGAAATTTGTAGAGTTGTCCCAACCTTGGCAACCTCAAGGTGTAAGGAGCTTGGCCTAGAAAGCACATTCACCCAAGGTCTCCTTTTTAGGTAAGACCCAATAGCTATTTTAACCATTAAAATAATATATTTGTCCTTTGGGGGAAATATAAAATCACAGTGCTTGTTGGGAACCACAGAACTGCAGCAGGAGAATAGGACCTAATAGCAGCAAGAGAGACCAAGACGACTAAGCCAACTAGCTCCTGGTCCTGGCTGCCTGCCGCTACAAGATGGGCACTGTATAACATATTGCACTAAATGAGGCAGGTCTGTGTTACCCATTAGTAACCAGTATTCATCTAATCTTTGGAACAGAGGCCTTTCAGTAACATTTTAAGGCCCTGGGGAAAAATGTAGGGAGCTGTTAGTAGCTGCTCCCTCTCTTCTGAGGCAAACCCCAACTTACTATGCACCACTGTGTTCTGGGCTTTTTACAGACCTTAACTCATATAACACAAAACTGAGCCACCTGGGTTGGTTGTGTGACCTATCCCAAGTCAGAAAGCAGATCAGGGAGGATTGGAAGTCATCTTTCCTACTCCGGTCAGCTGCATTTCACAGAACCATGTCTTTATGGTCAAACCAGAACTTCCCTCCTATCATTTCTTTTAATTTAGTTCTTCCTGATCAGCAAATACCTTTGTCTATTTATCATCACCCTGACAAACTCCTTAGCTCTTTGCCATCATAAACCATCTCAATTTCTGCAAGCTGAACTCATCATTCTGTTATCACAGGAAGGAGTCAAGAGGTGTGACTGCCTCCCCCACCCCACCCCCATCCCCAGAAAGATGAAGTACAGCACCTTTCGGGTGATTGCATAGTGTCCTTTGAGCTCATGCAGTGCCCACTTGATGTCCTGACTGCTGAGCATTTTAAAATCAGCCATCAGGAGGTCAGCAGCTTGGATGAAGCAGCGCTGGTCAAGAGGAGCCAATTTAGAGTAGTCAAAAAAGTCTATTTTAGGCAACTGAAATGAAAGAAAGACACAAAATCAGGAGCCAGACAGTGCATTTATTATGAGTGGGGAATCATTTTAAGAATTACATATAACAGAAAAGAATAATTTCATTTGTTCTCACTATTACCCTATAGGGGGTTACTAGTCCTGTAACAGAGAAGAGGAAATAGTGGCTGAGGGTAGAGGGCAGAAGGAGGTTAAACAATCTGTCTAGAATCTGGGGACTAGTTTTACAAGTCAGAAATAGTAAAGCAGCACTGTTGGGGATTTTATACAACCTCTCAGCAATCTTACAACAAAATGCTTAAACAAACTATTTTCTTTTCTTGCTACAGAATATATAAAAGAGATAGCTTAAAAAAAAAATCTGTGGGGAGCAGCAGTTAGCGTAATGGCTATGTCGCTGGATTCCCACATAGTCGACTACAGTTCAAGTCCCGGGCCCGGTGGCTTAAACTCACACCGGGCGTGTGTGCGTGCGTGCCCAAGATCCTGAGAAGAATGGAGAAGGGATTGCGGCGTGGCTATCCTCCCTGGGGAGCGATTTCTCGCTTTCTGTCTCTCTGTCTGTCTGGCGAGCACATGCACGCCCTATAGCAAAAATCTCTCCAAAGGGGGGGAAAAATCTGTGGAGGGACCAGCTGATGGCATAATGGTTATGTCACTGGACTCCCACATGATCAACCACAGTTCGAATCCTGGACCTGGCGGCTTAAAATTCACGACAGGTGCATGTGCATGTGTGCCCAAAATCCTGAGAGGAGAATGGAGAAGTGACTGTTGTATGGCCATCCCCCATGGGGGGTGATTTCTTGCATTCTGTCTCTCTGTCTCTATCTCTCCAGTGAGCAGATGCTCCCTATAGCAAAAACTTCTCTTAAAAAAAAAAAAAA